GGGGGGGGCAAGTTTGTTGGGAACACAAATAAATAACATGACATCAGGAATGGGCTGAGCAGAGCCTATGTACTCTAACCCTTGGCTCACAAGACCCCTCCCAGGAGGAACAGGATCAAGGCCATATTCCAATCTCTAAGACAAATGACCAGAGGAAAAAGGGCAAAGGTTGAACGAGTCCCAAAAGAAGGAGATCGTTTAACGATGGGAGGGACTGGGGAGAGAGGGAAGCTTTATTTCCAAATCAGAACTTGGGAGACATTTCAGGAGGCAGTGAAGGGTTTTAGATGGGATCTTTAGTGCTCTTGGACACTAAGAAAGGTAGCACGCAGGCCTTTACGGCAAGATTCCTGTGGGCAATTTCAGATGCGAAATACATTATTGCCAAATGCCTTTGCCTTTTACCAACCTACCAGAAGGAGTTTTTCTTAAAGAAACAGAGCATTTCCCTGTCTTCCTGTGGCTGCGTAAACAATCCATGCGGCTCCCATCCTTCCCAGCGTCTGATAGTGATTTATGCATGCATATTTACTAAGCTCAGGCTCTGGGAAGGAACAAGACAAAATCTTCGACCTCACGTAGTTTCCAATCTACTGCAAAACAGGCAGTCGGTAAGAAAAAGTGTAATACATTAAGCAGCTTTACGGACACGAGGAAGAAAATTGAACAAGATAAAAGGGACTGGGGGAGGGGAACAAGAAAAACCCTCCCTGGGGTGAAATTCATTAGCACAAATGAAGTGCTATCTGGCGGTACCCGGCCTTAACAGAGGACACTTGTGACAAGAGGGAGAGCCCTAGCTTGAACGTCACGCGGAAAGCATATTCTGGACGAGCTCCGGGCGGACACAGGGGACCAGCGACTCGGATTGACAAAGAGCTTTAGGTTTTTGCAAGAGTACTGATTGTTTTAGGGGATTATCAGGAGGTCTTAGGACATGAAAATCAAAATAAATCACCAGGAGTGAAAAACAGTGGATACCTATGTGTTCTAAAGATACATATATATATATTTTTTTTATCACTAAGAAAAGAACCCCAAACAGCTGAGAGCAGCACCGTGCTTTCAGACAGCCCCATGGTGGGTGTCCTTGAGAAGTCTCCAGAGCGTGACAGCACCCTGGTTACAAGATGGCGTCCGTCCCCACTTTGGTGGGAATCCAGGCTCCATCACGTACTGCCTAAGTTTCTTTTTTTTTTTAAATTTTTTTTTTTCAACGTTTATTTATTTTTGGGACAGAGAGAGACAGAGCATGAACGGGGGAGGGGCAGAGAGAGAGGGAGACACAGAATCGGAAACAGGCTCCAGGCTCTGAGCCATCAGCCCAGAGCCCGACGTGGGGCTCGAACTCACGGACCGCGAGATCGTGACCTGGCTGAAGTCGGACGCTTAACCGACTGCGCCACCCAGGCGCCCCTGCCTAAGTTTCTTTCAACCTTTCAAGCATTAGTTTTCTCATCTGTAAAGTGAGAACGGTTCCTGGTGCTCCTGTGTAGAGTTCTGAGGGTACTATGAGACCATGCATTTAATGCATGCCCAGTACCTGGTACTAATTAGAAGGATAAAGAAAAAATGCCATATTTATGGCATGTTACCATAACTGTGAACGTATTACGTATTTGGCACGGAATAAGAAGCATGCAATATTGTTAATAAAAACGTATTAGTTGATAATGTGGCTTTATAATAATCAGTCATTTCAACTGATTTCTGTTGAGCTTACAGGGGAGTTTCTTACTGTAGTAATCTTGCTATTCTGGACGCTTCACGTGCTGTAATAAGATATAAGACCATTACCGATCTGAATCGATTAAAGCATGAATGAAATACCGAGGTCCACAACTGTACCAACAGTCATGGTGGGAAACCAAGGGACAGAGATGTGGCCGATCTGAAACCCAGGGCCAGGTTCTCCTGCTTGCAAAACATTCTGTCGGGGACAAGTCAAATTTATTGAACAAAAGTGCTTTTCCTGAAGCAGAGCGATCCTTCCTCTCTCCTGAATCCTTAGCATCTGCCTGGTTCAAAGCACAATGGGGTTCTACAGACAAGAAATGACAACAGTGCTCTCCTGAAGAAGCCGCAATGGCACAAGGAAATGGATGGCCCAGGGAGGAGAGCCCCAGAACAAAGGGGGGACATTCACCACCATTCCTGCAACACTCAATCACAATGCCATTGACAGGAAGTGGGCACCTCTGAGGGCCCACCGGCGTTTGGTTCAAAGCCTGGTAAAGAAAAGGTCCCAGGCACGTCGCAGGATTATTTGTCATTCTGACATCTAGAAGGAAAAGGGGTCAGCTGGACCATAAAAGGCCGGTGTTGTTGCTAACTCTACTCATGTTCAAACTGTTAACACGTTCACGATCAGAGTGCCTTTCTTCAGGGGGTGGGGGGTACAGATTGCAGTGTTGAGGGTCACTGAGCCACTGAGAGATGGGTCTAAGGCTGGAGACTCTAACTTGAAACAGCTCCCAAATTCCTCTGCAGTTTACGGTAATTTGCAGATTCGGGCAATATAAAGAGATTCTAAGAACGGGATGGAGAAAAATTACTAATAAATTGTTGCTACGAAAATGGGAGAAAGAGATTCAACAGAAGTGAGAAACAAATAGGTTACATATATCAAGTGAGTCAGCAAAGGTTTTGGTATCAGAAGCAGCAGTTAGGGAGAAAGTGTAGTCTATGGCTGAATGAATCCATCCAGTGAACGGATCATTCTGTCCGTCCCTGGGAGAATCCTAAATGATTGCCTGTTGTTGGGGGCGGGGGGTGGTCACAGCATCCACCATAGCATCACAGCATGATGAGGGGCTAGGAAGGTCAAGTCTAGGGAGTAAATCTCACGTAGAGGTTTTGAGGTCTGTCCATCTTGCCTTCTCCCATCCAGGACCCAGAAAACCTTTTCTTCTCCTTTGATATTTTGCCCACTGGGTTGTACATTTCTCTTAAGAAAGGCATTTATGGAACTTCATGGTACCCTCTCCATGGCAATCACCACACAAGGAAAACAGGAGTCGACGGGCATATTCACTTTGAAGCAATGGCAAATTTGCCTTCAGACTCGCGAGGTACAGAAAGAGAACTCTTATTCCAGAGAGTTCCATCAGGATTTTTATGGTGCAGAACTGACGGATGCCACTTAGTTTTAGTGGACCTTGACCGCGAGTTCTGAGAGACAAGCAAATTTGAGAGCAAAAGGGGCACTCCTGGATTATAACATTTTCATAATGAAGGTAAAAAATCACGGAACATCACTTTCCCATTAAGAAAGCCAGGAAACTGTGGTGCTTGTCATCTCTGGGTTTTCTCCTTTTATATTTTACTTTGTATTGCAGGGTTATGTTTACTGATGAATGTTGGAGGTGCTTAAAGGTAGATTCATGTACATATTTTTTAACCCAGTTATTGTGGAGGAATTAAGGAAAGCTAGGGGCAGAGGGGATATGGATATGGGTAGGCGATTTTTATTTAAATCAATCTGAAAAATGTAACTAAAGAAGGTAGTGAAAAGTAGCTAAGGAATCACACATGAAAATTATATGATAACCAGGATAATCAAGAAGACCCAAATGGATATGGATGGAGAATTCCACGAAGGGAGTGCTGTGTTTCCTCCCTGTGTAATCAGATGCGACCCAAATTTGCATGAATCTACAAGACCTGAGAGAAGGGTCTTCGCTAAATGCTAAAAAGTGTCAAGTGAAGCAGCTTAGATTCACTTTAGAGAGACAAATCCTGAGATGGTTTACAAAACTATCATCAAGAAAAGAGCAAAATGCAAAGGTGTTTGAAATTTAGAACCAGAGGCACGGCGCTGGGCACCCCAGAAGTCAGAACTTCCTTGGGCATCAGTGGTTCAAGGCGTATGCAAAGCCCTTTTTATTTACTTCTTCATCATCTTTGTAATAATAATGCCATAAACCATGCAATATTAAATGCTCACCTTTTACAGATGAGGCTTGTTGAGACAGAAAAATTAAGTAATGTGTCTAACGTTACCCAGCTATAGTAAATGGTTCAACAGTGAACAAAACCCAAGCAGGCTGGTCCTGCAACCTGAACTCTCAATCAGTTCTCTGTCTGCACGGAGAGCAGGGCACGCGGGTAAGCGGGCGATCACGTAGGACTTCTGTGCTCTTCATTCCGGCGAGCTGGTGCCTCAGTAGTAGAAAAGCACCTTTTGATCGGTTTAGTTCCCACGGAATTAGTCAGACCCACTTTGAAACCGAAGCGCCGAAGGTAAGTTTCAAAGGCAGTATGGGGACAGAGGGATAAGGGAAGTAGGCTGAGTGTCAGAACTGGTCTCTTCTCTACCACTAACTCGCAAGGTCAAAGTGGACTGCTCATTTGTCTTCAATAAAACTAAAGCTTACTCGTGTCTAAGAGCACATCAAATGCTGGAATAGAATGGCCCAGATAAGCACTTCCAATAACAGAATGACGAAACTTACAAATACTTGTATTGTGTCAGCAGCTAATTTCCATATATTACTTGCCTATTTCCATGTATTACTTTTGCGTATAAGTTTATGGTTCTTCCTTTGTATTTCTTTTTTTTTATTTTTATGTTTATTTAGAGAGAGAGAGACAGAGAGACGCAGAATGTGAGCAGGGGAGGGGCAGACAGAGAGGGAGACACAGAATCTGAAGCAGGCTCCGGGCTCTGAGCTGTCAGCACAGAGCCCGACGCGGGGCTCAAACTCATGAACCGCAGCATCATGACCTGAGCCAAAGTCAGACGCTTACCCGACTGAGCCACCCAGGTGCCCCTTTCCTTTGTATTTCGTAGTGAAAGATAAATGAATAAATCATGACATGCAAATGCCACGTACTATTTTCTTATCGTAGGACTCTCCACTGCTGTAGGTGGTGGCCAACGTGGACGAACACTCTTCCAGGTACCAAGGCTTCTTCCCACTCTCAGCTGTGCTGCTGATGGAGATTGTGTAGATGCTGTTGGTGTAGCCGTCACAGGAACAGTGGTCTTTGCTCCTTCCGCCATTTCCTGAGGCCCAGACAAAAACAGAGCCGAGGCCTCTCCGCCCCTGTTCGCAAACAGAAAAAGTTACATGATGGAAAATACAGATCACAGACTCTACATGGAGAGAAGGTCAAAATCAACAGGCACCATCAAATATCTGCAGGAGGCCTCTGATACTCTTTTCATAATATGCTGGATTTAAGCTGTTTCTTGAGGTGAGAGGAGCTGCTTTTGGGAACTAAAATAATGTGTATGTAATGTCTACCTTGGTGACTGACTACAGAGAATAATCCTGTATTGCTTATTTGAAAGTTGCTAAGAGGGTAGATCTTAAAAGTTCTCATTACTAGGACAAAAAAAAAAAATGTAGCTATGCCTGGTGATGGATGTTAACGAGACTCACTGTGGTGCTCATTTGACAATATATACAAACATCAAAGCATTATTTTGTACACTTGAAACTAATACAATGTTATAGGTCAATTACACCCCAATAAAAAAAAATCTAACATAATCCCTTTCAGAAAGCCAACTGGTGCAGCCACTCTGGAAAACAGTATGGAGTTTCCTCAAAAAATTAACAATAGAGTTACACTATGACCCAGCAACTGTGCTACTAGGTATTTATCCAAAGGATACAGAAATGCTGGTTCGAAGGGGCACATGCACCCCCATGTTTATAGCAGCACTATCAACAATAGCCAAAGTATGGAAAGAGCCCAAATGTCCAGTGACTGACGAATGGAGAAAGATGTGGTATATACGTCCAATGGAATATTACTTGGGGATCAAAAAGAATGAAATCTTGTCATTGGCAACAACACGGATGGAACTAGAATGTATTACGCTAAGCAAAATAAGTCAGTCAGAGAAAGATAAATACCATATGATCTCATTCATACGTGAATGTAAGATACAAAACAGATGAACATGGGGGAAGGGAAGGAAAGGAAAAATAAGATACAAACAGAGAGGGAGACAAATCATAAGAGGCTCCTGAACACAGAGAACAAACTGAGGGTTGGTGGAGGGGAGGTGGTGGGGGGTTGAGCTAAATGGGGGATGGGCATTAAGGAGGGCACTTGTTAGGATGAGCACTGGGTGTTCTATGTAAGTGATGAATCACTAAATCCTACTCCTGAAACTTTTATGACACTATATGTTAACTAACTTGGATTTAAATTGAAATAAATAAAATAATCCGTTTCACGTGATACACTCACAGACGTAACAAGAGCACCAATGATGACAATAACACGGCTAACGTTCATTAGGTACCCACCACGGACCAGCCACATTTATAATTGTTTTACGTGAATCAGACCAAACTCTTCCAACAACACTGTGAGAATGGTACAATCTTTGTCCCCATTGGATAGATGAAGAATTGAGCTACAGAAGTTAAGAAATGTTCCCAAGGTCAGGAAGCAGAGGGACAAAATTGGAACCCAAAGAGCCAGACCCCAGAGTTGGAATACTGTTAGTCGTAACTACCACAGACATGTAATAGTGCTATAAATCTTCACCCACGTGAAATGGGTGCCATTATGCTCCCTCAGTTGACATCCGAGCGATATGACGTGTGAAGAAGTTTTGTATTTACACTGAGATCACGTCGCCAGTGAGCAGCAGAATTAGGGACTATGTGCCTTCCAGAGCTGTGCCTCCCCTATGTACGGCATGGGCGTTAATTATGAAGGATGTTAACGCATACTACCAGAAATAAAAGAACTCCAAGGTTAAGAATGTTTGGAAAGTCTAAGTTAAGCAAAATAAAACAGGTTCCCCTATTGCAGAACTTAGTAAGTGATCATCCATTGCAAAACTCTAAGGGGGGTGTGGAAACAATCTGATGTTTTTTCCAAACATATTTGCTTATAGATACCTTTCTTCAACCAGATCCATGAATTCTTTCTTACAAGGCTAGGAGATAGGGATACAGTCTTTAGGCCAAAACTTGGCATGTACTTGAAGATTTTCCTAAGGTTGTGAAATAAATAAAGAGAAGAACCAAAGTAGAACATAGATGTACCGAAGCATAATGGCGATTTGGTTCCATAAGGGGAGATCTGCAGAAGAGGCAGAAATAAGCCAAAGTGAAGAGCAGTTCTCTGAACTGTCAGAGCTGAAACCCTCAGAAATTTTACCTTTTTAAAACTAGAAATCACACTGGTGGACACAGAGGCCAAAATCTATCATTTGGTCATGAGAGAGTGGTAACCAAAGTCACATAGCTGTTGACGGCTGAACCTCTTCCTTGCTTCGAGGCCCTAGCTTTTATGGTCTCAGGTGGAGGGAAAGTATTTGGGCTGCTATTTTGGAATTTCTGGTAAAAGAGCCAAGGAAAGAGAGACGACGGAGAATTTGAAATATCCTTGATAAACTGTCTGTGACCTTGAAACCTCAAGGAACAGAATATTTATGACACGACTTGACTGACCTGCACATAGATTTCTTTTTGTCCTTCAGTGTGGAAAAATGCAATATGATCAGACAGGAATGGGAAATATTCATGAAGAGAGAGGGAGAGAAAGTTCTGGATGCTACTGCCACAAGACAGCTGGGTCTGGTTTATCAACTTTCAGTTTCCCATCAAAATATTCATGAAATGTACAGAAGGATACAAAAAGCACCAAGCCATCATAAACGAAGGATTTTGTTCAATGCTTTGAAAATCTCCAGAAGGAATTAACTCCTCACTATGGTGTAGATGGCCAGGTTGAGAAACCCCGGTGCCTCATCTCCTTACCTCAGAGACAGAACATCATAGCCAGAGAAGGAAGGGTCAAATTCATCATCAATACGTGCCCTCTCTCTAACTGAGAGGCTGTGCTGTGGCGAAAAGCACGATTACATTGGAGCTTTATCTGACAGGTCAACAGAACACATGACGTAATGCCAAAACACTCCGGGTTTAAATACCACTGTAACCGATAATAGATTAAGAACCACAAAACTATGAAAAGGCACATATAGCACAATCACATTTGTATACCTGTATAAAATTATGACTGTGTGCCTATGATGCACACAGAAATGCAATGAAAAGATCTTTAAAAACGTACTTGATTTTTTAAAATGTTTATTTATTTATTTTTGAGATAGAGCACAAGCCGGGAGCAAGAGACAGAGAGGGAGACAAAGAATCTGAAGCAGGTTCCAGGCTCTCAGCTGTCGGCACAGAGCCCAAGGCGGGGCTCGAACTCACAAACCATGAGATCATGACCTGAGCTGAAGTCGGTCACTCAACCGACTGAACCACCCAGGCGCCGCCCAAACTTGTTTGATTGAAAAAAAAAAAAATTAACAAGAAAATATTTAGCAGGTATTTTTATGTTCACAATGTAATTACAAATGGAGGATACAAAATGATATAATACGATCTCAGTTTAAAGAAATGTACTTGTGTGTGTGTGTGTGTAGATGCGTGTGCATGTGTAAAGAAGTTAATGTTTATAAATTTATATGCATACAGCTGCCATAAAGTGATAATGTAACAGAACTTATTCTGTTTGGTAAGAATAGGAAAGAGTTTTCTTTTTCACACCATCCTTCCATGACCATGTAGGATTTTTATAAATAGAAACAAACACACTTATTTCCCTCTTAATGTTTTCCACATTAAGAGGGAAAACACAGGGCCAATTCTTTTTTTTTTTTAAGTTTATTTATTTATTTTTGAGAGAGAGAAAGAGAGAGCGAGCACAAGCGGGGACAGACAGAGAGAAGGAGAGACAGAATCCCAAGCAGGTTCCATGCTATCAGCAGAGAGCCCGGTGTGAGGCTCGAACCCACGAACTATGAGATCATGGCCTGAGCAGAAACCAAGAGTCGGACGCTCAACTGACTGCACCACCCCAGCACCCCTCAGAGGGCCAGTTCTTAAGAGGTAGTTTTTATTTTATGAGCAAGAGGGGTTTTACGCACTATGCACTAAAAACAATAGAGGCTAACATTTGTACAAACTTACTATGCACCAAACATCGTACAAACATTATTCTGTGTAATTCAAATCTATATCACCATTTTACAGATGGTCAAACTGGGGCTCAGAAATGCTCACGAATGCCAGAGCCAGAGCTTGAAATCCAAGTGGAGCTAAAGCCTGTGCCCTTAACCCTTAACAACAATCTTCTTTTGGGCAAAGAGAAGGCTAGTGGTTGCTGTAGTGTTTTTAGCCAAGTCTCCAGTGTCTTTACTGAAGTTTGGCAGTAGAACCAATGACAGACCAGTCTCCAGATTCTCTCCAGACTTGGTAGCAGCAGGATTGAAACGAGAAGGAAAGGATGCATACATGGTCCTGAGCATTCTCAGGGGGAAGAACATAGGTTCAGATGCAAAAGGGCACCCAGAAATCCCCACCTGAGCAGGACTCCCTTAGAAGTAGGATCCCAAGTCATTCTATTATGGCAGCGTCCAGAGGTGACACCACTGTGAAGGAGCGATGATGTCATCATGGAGTCCTCTTGGTTTCTAGAACAGTGGTTTGCCCCGGCTCTGGAAATGTGCCTTCCAGACAGAGGTGACATCCTTCCATCAAGCATAATTTGAAGGAATCATGTTACGGTTGGGCATGATGAAAGGAAACCTCAAAGGACAGTAGGAGGGTCAATAATCACCCCTATCCCCCTCATGAAGGAAGGAAGCTGAGGAGTGGGGGTCACTGGAACTGGAAACAGAGGGGCTAGTAGAAGTTGAGAACTGATCGGGGACATGCCAACCCATGCTGGTCCTGCACAGAAGGGGGTCAAGGGAATATTCACTGAGACCCCAGTCTCTTTCTCCTTCTCTCCCATTTCTTGCCAGGGTATCCCACTGGCTGACCCCCACCAGAAGTCGGAGGAACTGGGAGTGCATACAGATCAGTACCCCCGAGCACGGAGCTTATGGACAGTAGGGGGAAAGGGATCTGGAGAATCTAATGGGAGACATGTGGTGTTGTCCCCAAGACGTGTTATGGAATGAGTTGTGTCCTCTCCCCTTCAAGTTCATATGCTGATGCCTTAACCCCCCAATATGACTGTATTTAAAGATAAGGCCTTTAAAGAGGGTAATCAAGAATAA